CCGGCTTCCTGTAGTCAGCCCCTGGTCAGTTTCAGTGGCAGCAGCTGAATCTGGAGCCAGTTCCGACTTACATACAAATTCAACTTAAGAACAAACCTATAGTCCCTATCTTGTACGTAACCCAGGGACTGCCTGTATTGCTGCAGTTATAACTCCTAACTCCTTTCATCCCTAATGAATATTGAGTTTGTAACATTTAAGTAATCCATGTGTTAGCACAGCAGTCTCATAGCGGGATTTGATCAGACAAGTACTTCCCCCAATATATAAATAAGTTATTTTGAGACTGAGGCTACTGTACACAGTAAGTATGATTTTCTTCCACTTAATATTCAATATATTCAGCTTTTTGTGTGCAAAATGAGTATATTCAGAAAACAATTATAGTTCCAAGTAGCGTCCATTCCCCTATGCATCATATCCCCTCAAATCATTGGCAAATTCATTCTGTCTCCATACTGTTCAAAGAAATACTACAACTAATCCTGATTTAATTATTACTGAGCTAAATCACATATCTTTCTCTTTGACCACAGACATCTCTACATACAGTGAGACAGAAGCTTCATCACTGTACAGGTGAACAGTTGGGATTGGAAGTGTGTGTACAACAGTTCTACTCCTTTGGCACAGCTATGCTCAGTTCCTCTGGAATGCCGCATAGAATGGTTTGTGGCTGGAATACAGAGGGGTCTCTAAGTACCCCACTACACTGTGGGGGTTTTCCAGGAGACCGAAGTTATCCCAGAAAAACTCTGCTGTGTCCAGGAACACGTTTGCTCTTCTCTTTTTTTTTTTGCTGAAGTGCAAACGCGCACTTTCAGAAGCCCTGTCCTCCTCATTCCATGAGGAAGAAGGGATCTTCCGAAAGAGGGGGATTTTCCAAAATTTGGCCCAGTGTAGACGGGCCAAACTTCAGAAAAGCCTCTTCCGAAAAAAAAATCGGAAAAAGCTGTAGGGTAGACCTAGCCTTAGAAGCTAGGTCCACACTATCAGGTTATTTCATATTAAGTTATTTCAAAATAATAACTCCCAAAATAACTATTTCAAAATAAGCTTATTCTTCTTCACAAGCAGGAGTTACTATTTCGAAATAACAAGCCCATTATTTCGAAAAAACAAGCTCAGCAGTGTGGATATTCTCCTTGTTATTTCGAAATACAGAGAGTTATTTTGAAATAACTACCAAGTGTAGACATGCCCTTATATATTGCTTCCAACAGTCTGGGGCAACAGGAGTGTACTATGGCTGCTGGAATTTCAAAGGACTGTAGTAGTGACCAAGGAATGGCTACCCTGAGTATTCTTCCACCATCTCCTGTGGACGCCTCCTGTGCCAAGCCCAGCTGCTGG